TCACTTGAAGTAGTGCTACCTGTCTTATAATCACTTTGATAAATTAGGTTAGCACTTAGGGTTTCATCAATTAACCAAAACCAAACTAGAGCTTTCACCGTGCCACCCCGCCCGCACCCGCGCCGCCGCAACCGCTCCCGCGCGCTAGCGCCGCCGCACCCGCGGCCGTTGTGCCCGCCACATCACGCGTCGTCCCGCCCTGCCCGCCACGTCGTGGCTCGCCCTGCCCCACCTGTTCGTGGCCCACGCGCCCTCACCCCTACCCGCCACGCCAAGGCGCACGGGAGCTCCGGCCCAGGCACGCCAAGGCGCTCCGGCGGCTTGTTGTTGCACTCCACCGACGCTCCACCAACTGTACAGTAAAGTAAGTTACTTTATTCGTTTGAATTGGTAATTTAGTACTTAGTTAACAATAGTTAGGGTGTAATATTTAGATAGATATATAGATACTTATGTTGGTATAACTAGTTTTCATATATAGTTATTACATAGTTAGATACATACATAGGTATATATTTAGTACTTAGTATATATATGTAGTACTTAGTACATAGTATACATTTACTTATCTAAATACTAGAGACCTTCACGTTAGTAGTTAGCGTGTTTTTTTGACTAAAGGACATGTGTTTCGTTACGTGTTTGAAATAGATGGACAACCTAGTGACCATATATCATGGAGGCACCGTTGAAAGCGATCGCTATGGATATGTTGAGTTTATTGACATGCAAAGCGTGCCTGTGCTATTCAATGACAGGCCTTCATTTAGTGAGATGGTTGCAAGAGCTCGGGAGGAGCTGCATTGCCTTGGAGATAATATAGTGACATGTACATGGATTCAAGTAACAATGACATACGTGTAGGTTGGATCGTCAGAAGAATAGAGAGATTTTTTACTAGGAGAAGCACCACCAGTACTACATTGAGCAATGGGAGGAGATGCATGACAACGTGGACGAGAACAATGAGCCGCACACGAACCGTGAGTTCAGGCGGTACCAAGCTTGGTACCAACGTGCGACACGTTGTAGGCTGAGGGTACAGTGGACAGAAGATGACTACGCCAACATTGAGTCCTCCGATGATGAAGACACGGCGTACGACCAATCTACTCGTGCAGGAAGACAGGTGGAGGCAGGACCAATCTTGGACAGAGTGGTAAGTCAATTACCTTATTTTTCTACGTTAAGTTGCATACCATTACATTGTGCGTTAGAGGTATCTATTTTAGTTAGTGCCACCTTCGAGCCGTAGCATCCTTATAATACGTTAGATTGTTGTACAAAAGAAAACAAAATATATTGCTATCTGTTCAGAAGTATTATTACTGAGAACTTTGCTGTAGGGCAATACCCTCAAATGCTCCGTTGAAGACATTGAGCGCTTTCGTCCGAGAGTTAGGGACGACGACACACGTAGCTTCCTAGACATAAGATTAAAAATATTCTTTCAAACATATTATTAATACGTTAGATTATTTTAGTTAACGTAATTTTGTACAAAAGAGGCTATCACGTCGGCTACGCCGTGCGACTGCTCGTTGTGGTTGCAGGACAGATACGACGCAAGACGTGTGCGTTCCTTCCGCAGGCAAAGGAGGCCTAGGTTCCTCTAGCCAAGCAGGCAAGCAGCTACAGGGGACGAGGACAAGGATGACGTGGACCAGAGGCACGAGGAGCTTGGCCCCTCTCAGCTCTAGGACGCTCCCTCGACTCAGCCTACATAGCCTCCAGGCACTAGGCGACACCGTCCACCGAACCCTTACACTCCAGGTACCAACGTTCTCGGTCACAAGGGTAAGGGTAAGACTAGGAGGCAGTGAGGGTTTGTGGTAGATGTTAGTATGTACTATTATGGATTTTGTAGTCACTCTCCTGTAACTATTTGGAAATGTATGGATATTGTGGATTATTTGGACTATGCAGGACATGTTATGTTGATTGTGATGTTCGTTGTGGTTGCATTGTGCTCTTTCAATGATTACATGTTTGGATTATATAATGATGTCTCTGTTTGTAACTGTGGATGCTCCTGAAACAAGGAAAACTCTTGCGAATTTTTCCGTGAATCATTAATTATATTACACTGCTAAAAAGGCACAAATGTAGTACACAGATTAAATGTAAATTTATTAGAACGTGTATAGTTTAATCGTATCGTACAGATTGTCGGGAGTTCCGACGTACGTCGGGACTTCCGACGTGCGCAGACAGCCAGCCAGCAAAACCCCAGGTGTCAGGACTTCCGACGACCATAGTCACTGCGCAGGCTAAGTGACTGGGCGTCAGGATTTTCGGCATGAGTCGTGACTTCCAACGGTCGGGAGTTCCAGCTTATGTCGGGACTTCCACCACCAACAATCACTGAAAAATATTCTACGTGTTCGTGGAGTGATAGAGTGTCACTCTTTTGATTTTATTTTTATGCTTGAGCACTCTATCTTCCTTAGACCAACTAAGTTTGCATCTCTCTTTATAGTGCGGCGGATCATAAACTTAAAAACAAAAATAAAACCTTTGGATAGCGCTTTGAGTTCGTCCACCTTTACAACTTCAAGAATTGAGGGATATCATTTCATTTTTATCAACTCTTTAAATCTTTCATGGGACGGAGGCATATTTGCTAGATGCGTCGGGGTATAATTCTCGAGGACAACCCCGTTTTTACCAAAACTCCTCCCGATACATTTCTTGCATCTAACAAAATGGTTGTAATTTAAAGAACAAAAATCAAAACATCATAAATTAATGTCAATAAGAACCATAACTATAATACAACCAATTTCGTTTTAAGAATCGAAAGCAATTAACATTAAACCATAAACCTAGGGTTTCTCATTTGATGCACACCAATGAACCCATAACATAACAACATGTGCTGCGGTTACCTAGGTTTGCTAGCTTTTTCACGTCTTGGCATCATCCTACGGTTGTATAATACAAATATTAAAAATTACATAAAACCCTAAGTAATGACGATTCTTAAGTTGAAAAATCTGACTAATATATACCGAATCGATGCGAAAAAAGTAGGAGGGGAGCGAGGATACCTTGCTCTCGAAGATCTACGGATCAAATCAAAGTTTTAAAGGTCCAATATGCCGATTCGTGAGGTAGGGCGAAGTGGGGAGAGAGAAAACCCGAGAGGGAGGAGAAAGAAGAGGAAGAAGGCTCGGTCAGGAAGGTTGGGGCCGGGGTTAAAACATCACCTCGGGGCCATAGATCAGGCGCTAAGCTCGGCGCCAGGATCTACGACACCAAGCTTGGCGCCAGGATCTATGGCGCTGAGCTGCCTGTCAAGTCACCGCCACGTCTGTGTCGAGCCCAAGACCTCGGCGCCAGCGACGATGGCGCTGAGCAGTGTAAGCTCGGCGTCAGCAACGATGGTGCTGAGCTAAGAGTTTAGATTTTAAAATCTTACCTTCAGAGGCATATTTATGATTTTTTTTTAAAAAAAGACTAAAAATAAAAAATTCGGTCGGGAGGAGGCGTGCAAGAGGGACGAGGAAGTGAGGGAAAGGGACGAAGGAGGGACATTCCTGTCTTTTAGCATGGGTCCTTCGTGCTGACACGCTGAAATCTCGTGACACACACACGAAAGTAGTTGGAATTGATAATATTGCAAAAAAAGTTTTCCGATGGCAATTTTACAAGAATATTTGATAGGATGGCTTTTGACGGTGCATCATTTGATAGAAATGCAACAAATTAAATATCCAGATGTTCAGACAGCTAAACATCCCTATGAGAAAATCGCTTTTAGTACATAAATAGATACAGATTACGTTGCTGAAATCTCGTGACACGTACGTGAAAGTAGACGGGATTGGTAATATTGCAAATAAAAAGTTTCCCCGATGGCAATTTTACAAGAGTATTTGATAGGGTGGCTTTGACCGTGCATCATTTGGTAGAAGTGCAACAAATTAAATATCCAGATGTTCAAACAGCTAAACATCCCTATGAAAAATTGCTTTCAGTTCATAAATAGATACAAATTACGTGTTTGTTGTGTCTCTATGGTCACTGATTCTCTTAGAGTGGTCGATAGTCATTCCATTATCAATTATTTATATGCAATTGCTTAATTGTGAACTTTGTTTGATCCATGTGGGATTAGTCTTGTAGGGATCGTGTTTTTTTATGCTTCAATACTTCAAGTACAAGCTACAGTATTTGAACTCATCCACACTCGAGGCTACAAAGAAAATAATGAAAAACCCTCATGCGAAACCAATGTCGAGCGGGGCTCGAACCCAGGTCATGGGTGCTCCACTAAGCCAGTCCCACCACTGAGCCATCGGCTCGTTCGCTTGTATGGATCGTGTTAGTTTTGATAAATCTTGGCTTAATGAGCTCATACATTATCACTCTCCTTTTTCTCTTAACTTTGTATAAAACCGTGATTAGGCACAGTTATGGAAAAAAAAAACAGCAGAAGAGGTTTGGCGGAGGATCGAATCACCGGACCGCATAAGTCCCGTGGAATTGGCCGGGATCCCTGCGAGGTTAGGAACACCCAAACAAGCCCTGACCGCGGTCTGTCTATATGCTGCAACCCTGCCTTTTGTTCTTCCCTTAACCCCCAGCGTGCGCGCTCTCCCTCCCCCGCCCGGCCGCCCCCCGCTTCCCACCGCGCCCCGTGGCGACGACTGGGCGGCCGTTGCTGCCGCCCTACGCCAGTTGCCGAGGTCTTCTTCGGGCCCTTAGCCGGCGACGAGCACCACCAGGTACGCCCACCCCTTGTCTCGCCTTCCTGCTGTGCGAAACCGAGCACCCAAACCCTAACCTACTATTTGTATTCGGATCTGATCTAATTGCAAGTGTATCTGCATGTATTATGACCACTACATTCGATTGTTTTGCAAAAAGGCATCGGGTGAGGGGACGGGCATTTCGGTTTCTATTTCCATTTACCAGTTGTGATATTTAGCCATTTTCTTCTGCAGATACTCTGAGCCTGAGCTGCTGAAAGTTACTTTTGGAGTTCGTTACATTAGGATTCGTTTTTGATGACTTCATCAAGAAGCAACAGCAGGAGCAGAAGTAGGAGCCACAGTCGCAGCAGGAGCAGGAGCCGCAGTCCTCGCCGAAGAGATAGGTTGCGCAGTGAACGTGCACCCCGCCGCAGTCGCAGTCGCAGCAGGAGCCGCAGCCCATACCGTCGCAGAGAACGGCGTGGCTACAGGTATGCTTCTGAGTTATGTCTTTATTCAATGACTTGCTTTCAATTGATCTTATGCTGACAATAGATCTATTTTTTGTATATATATGTTACATGAGTGATTCACTGTAATGCCAATATCAGCATTGATTTGAGCGATAAGTTTCCCCCTCTTTATCTCCAGTAGTTTATCTAATGCCCACCCTTTTACACTATAGTTTGCTTATGTACATGTCCAAGCTCGCTCCATTGCTTAAATTAAAATGATCATTCAACGCTGCTTCACAGCCGATTTATGTCACAATTTGCCCTCGTCTCCATGTTTTTTTAATTCCACAAGTTATGTGGAGGTCAGTTCTGTTTTGAAATAGCAATGTTTGGTCTGCCTCCATGATCTGTTCCTTTTTCCACTCTTGTAATTGGTCAAGTACATGAGTGATTGCTCAGCATGAGACAATGTTTAGTAAACAGGATCAGTAGCTTATTTGTGTAAAGAAAAAAAGAATAGACTGTTCATAGGGTTATTTCATCAAACACTAAATCAAAACCATTTTGGCATGTGAATTGTACTTCTGTAGAGGCACGTTCATTGACATCACAGTCAACTGATGTCTGGTATCTAGGAAGAGATGTTTTGAACTGTGTTTCTGCTAATCAAGTTAATGAATTTGGCACCTGTCATAACATCTGAGCCTCTGTATGTGTGTGGAGAGTGCGGAGGGGAGATTGTGCTAGGTTGAAACACCTTCATGAAAATAGGTGTAATATTTGTGGGCTTACCAAAATACCTTCTCATCACCTAATTGGGTTCTAATTATTCTCATCACCTAACAAGGCATTTCGCTTCACCGTGTTCTTTTAAAGAATGCACAATGTTGTGTATTTCTTTTTCTTCTATGTGAACCCTGGGAGAAATTGCACCGCTAGGGTTCATGCTAGCAGCCTAGCACCTCATAAGACCTACAGCTGGTGCGGAGTATCTTTAGGCACACACCATGGTTTACCACTGAAAGAGGGGCACTCAGCACTCACACATTGTTCTTATCTTTTACCAAGATAAGCTTTATCTTATGGAAATGGAAACATTGCTTTGCTCTTCATACATAGTTATGCAAATGTTTAATATTTTTTATGTGAATCATATTCCAGGCTCATGGAAAATGAAACGTTTTTAAAACGAATGATTTTGCAGGGATCTTGTATGCAAGAACTGCCGGAGACCTGGGCACTTCGCTAAGGAGTGCCCATCTGCGCCTACGTGCAATAACTGTAACCTTCCAGGGTAAAATAAACCAGCAACACTCTTAATATAGCTGCATTCATTCCATTTTTTGTTGGAATCAAATGCATTTATGACTTTTTTTTTCTCGAACACACATTTATGACTTATCGTTGTGCAGAGTATTATTTTAATAATTCCCGCTAGATGCCATATTTCATTCTTCAGATGTTTGTTTGTAGTGGACCATAACTCTGTTCTTTTTTTTTCTACAGGCACTTTGCAGCAGAATGCACCTCACAAACTGTTTGCTGGAACTGCAAAGAGTCTGGGCACATTGCCAGTGAGTGCAAGAATGAGGCCCTGTGCCACACCTGCAACAAGACAGGTCATTTGGCACGTGATTGCCCTACTTCAGGGGCTAGTGTTAAGCTATGCAACAAATGTTTTAAACCAGGCCACATCGCTGTTGACTGCACCAATGAACGGGCCTGCAACAACTGCCGTCAGCCAGGGCACATAGCTCGGGAGTGCAAGAACGAACCTGTTTGCAACCTGTGCAATGTCTCTGGCCATGTCGCGCACGTCTGTCCAAAGACGACTCTGGCTTCAGAGATACAGGGTGGCCCATTCCGTGATATCCTTTGCCGCATCTGTGGTCAGCCAGGGCACATCAGCCGCAACTGCATTGCAACCATCATCTGTGACACATGCGGTGGGAGGGGGCACATGTCTTATGAGTGCCCGTCGGCCAGGATATTCAATCGCGAGCTCCGCAGGATCTGAGAGCTTTTTGCCGACGGGCTCCACTTTGTTAGGATGGTTGAGTTTCGCCTGGACCCAGGATGTTTCATTTGTTTTTGACAATATTGGAACAGTTTTCCTTATGCCGTGGTAGTTGAGGGATGATTCTGTAGGATGTGTTGCGGGTGAAACTCCTTTTTCCCTTTTAATCAGTTGAGGGACGATTATGTAGGATGTGTTGCGGGTGAAACTCCTTTTCCCCTTTTAATCAGGATATATAGCCCTTTGTGGGCTCAAACAGTGCTTTAACGGCTCATGTAAAAATTGTCAGGTTATGTTCAACTCTTGTGCTCATTCTCTGCTGTGTCTTTTCAGCGCTTGTTTTCCACTGAAATTTGTATGGTGACATCGGCGGTTTGATCTGGACAAAGTGATGCTTGACAGTTTGACACTTGGCACCTGACCATCTGAATATCTGAGAGGTGATCAAAGGTACATTGGTTCGCCATGTGAGCTGCACAAGGAGTAGGGTAGCAGATGAGGTCAAACGAGACCATGGTGCCCTTGAGCCGGGAAATGGCTGCACAAGCACACGGTTGAGATGGCAAGTGAGCAATCGAGCAGGGATTGGTCACTTCCACTTCCGGCCATTCATACGCATAAGAACATAATTTCATGATGAGACAGCCATGCCATGAAGTGAAAACTCAAACCACGCAGAAGCTACGAGCGAAAACGTCAGTGGAGGGCAACAAGCCTCATTGTGCGAAAACATCAAATCCTCATGCTGATTAACCTTAATTACACCATCATGGTGTCGTGGTGTAGTTGGTTATCACGTCAGTCTAACACACTGAAGGTCTCCGGTTCGAGTCCGGGCGACGCCACTTTTTTTTGCCCTATCTCGTCACAGAAGTACAGAATTTGCATCTAAGCTTAAGCTTCGAGCTCGTGGCCACACAAACATTTCAAAAATTGATGAACTCAACATGATCTTGTCCAGACAATTGTCACCGAATCATGGCTTTATTCCACTCTTTTCAACATCGTGTCACAGAACTCAGCGTCCTCAACGCTGAAAATGTTGCAAGAATCTAGGAGTTTGCGTCACACTACTTCACTGTGGCAAAGGAACACTTGAAAATTTTCTGAAACTCAAATTACGCCTCCAAGACAATTGTCACCGAATCATGAGTAGGGAACATATCGATTACTTATTTGTAGTAAGTTGAACAGCGCAACACATGTCCATAGTTCATACATAAATGGCAGATAACAAGGAATTACATGATAGATCCAAACCTTCATGGTCTTCTGGAAGCCATGAGGACCTTTTTACACGGCAACAAACCCACAAATCATCA